CTTAATTGGGCATTTATGTACAATCTGTGTCAGTGATGTCTATACAAAACTGTCCTGTATTTACAGGAAGTCCTACTTTACATCAAGCAACTTCTAATCATGTAAAATATAAGTGACGATGCATTGTAACTGTGGATGGTTAGTTACGAATACGAACTATGCTTATGCTGCATCAAAACATCAGAATCACATGCTTTTTGACCGTACTACAAGGCAAATGATCTAAAAGAGATTGTTCACCCAAAAATGAAAATTCTCTATCTCATGTCATTTCTTTTCTTCTATGGAACACAAAATATGTTTTTGGGTGAACTATCCCTATAAGTGCCTTGCGTACTTTTCGGTAATATGCACCTTGACTACAAGTTCGATAACTCAGGATTGCTTGTAGACACTATCTTCTCTGAGAGGCTTTGGAGAGACACCATTTGGCTGTTGTTGGAACACCAATCAGAAAGAGTCTCCACCGACGCCTGGCTCACGGCACCTTGTCGCCGGCCAGATTCCTGCTTTTTGAGAGAAAGCAAACTGGACAGTTTAAAAGAGCCGGAGGATCGAAGGACGGAAAGCATTCTCTGATGATACCTGGACCTGACTGCTCTGGCAGAGCGGTATAAATCGCCCAAGAAACAATAGCAGATGGGATTGAGGCTGGAGTTAGTGAGACCCAGCCACTGCGTGAAAGGCCGAGTCTGCAGAACCCAGTGAGGTGGATGAACCTCGCGGTCAATCAGGATGTCTGCAACGTAAAGCGGGAGCCAGGAGATGGCGAATAAGAGAACCAAAGTGACCACCACCTTGGCAATCTTCTTGCGCATCTTCAGACGTGAAGCGTGGACGGCCTGGCTGTGTGGATCGAAGTCGGCGAAATGTTGAGAAGCCCTCCAGAGCTTCCTGCCTGTCAGAAAGCTGATGATTAGGTTGAAGGTCACGGGGATGCAGTAGAGAGCAACAAAAAGGAGCACATTGTAGACCTGCTTGAGTCTCGCTTGTGGCCAAAGCTCTCTGCAGATCGGCACGACGATGTCGATTAAGTGGATCTCGTCCAGCTTGATCATAAAGAGCAAAGGTGCGCAAATGGCCGAGGACAGGATCCAAACGCACACAATGGTGATACAGATCTTCTTTTGGGTGAAGTACGAGAGGGAATTCAGCGGGCTGTGAACGCTGTAGTATCTGTTGACGCTGATGACGGTCAGGCTGAGGACACTTGCCGACACGGACACGGCCTGGATGAAGGGAACAGCCCGGCACAGGAGGTCTCCGTACACCCATGCAGTGTAAATGGTGTGGCCAAGCGTGATGGGCATGCAAATGCAAACCACCATTAGATCACACACCGCCAAGTTGATGAGTAAACTCCGGGTGGCACTGATGCTCTGCATCCTCTTACTCTTCTGGCAGGTGAGCATTCGAATGGCCATGAGATTTCCAATGAAACCCACCACAAATGATAATGAATACATGACGGTGAGAGCGATAGTGGTGGGCTCTTTGATTGTCAGCAGCAGCAGTCTCTCCAGCTCTCCACTCTGGTGGAGGAAAACATCATTTGCGAAGTCCTCGGCACCGGGGAAAGAGGCATTCAAGGACAGCAAGGCGTTTGAGAGCAGAAGCTCTTTTTTCAGCAAGCCAGCAGTGAAATTCATATTCCTTTTGTTTCCCCTAAAGGTTCAGGGGATATTTGTGATGTTTTGATATGTGGTGGTTGGAATCCAAAGGCTGCTTCAGACATCTCAGAGTTGATTACTAAAGCTCAAGGCATCTTCATCTTCAGCCAAAACGAGTAAGGTAATGAAATCCATCATTTAGCCAACCGCCCTCTACGGAAACATGACACACATTAGGAGGGAAATTAAATTACAAGATAACATGAAATCCAAGTAATTGCACTGACTAAACTGTAATCCTTAAAATCCAGCGCCTGATTAATGATAAATATCACAAATATCTTTCTCTTTTACATTATATTACATTTTCATTTTTCTCCATAATCTTGTCATTTGTCGTGCAAGATTAAATTTCAGAATAAATAGTGCAGAATAAATAGTGTGTGATATTGTGTGATGGTCCTTAAGGGCACCATTTTGCAAAATTATTCTCATTTCAGACTGTTTGAACTAGGTTTTTGAAACCAACAAACAAAACCACTAGAGAAAACAGGCATTTGTGTTATTGGACTTCGCAGATAATTAAAATGAACTCTCAGCACAGGCTAGTACTGATAAGTAACAAATAACTCCGTCTTTTAATATCGCATGCTTATTTTTCTTCAAGTAAGATTAAACCGTGCCTATAGGCAAACTCTCAGGAATGAAGCATCGGGAGCCACAATAAATCTCATATCTTATCTAGCTGCTTAAAATGAATAAATTGCGTGTAATACATACTGTGTCGAAAATCCAGTAGTTTCTAAGCAGTTTTCCTCTGACATATTACGCATTGGTCTCTGTAAGATAAGTCACTTTCTCCTTATTTCTTTCTGTCATGCATTAGAGTAATTATTGAATGAACAGTATAGCCTAAACTGCATCAAAACGACGCAAGATAGAAAGTAATAATAGAGAAATATTAATACATACCGACGATATGTGTGGAGTAGCAGGTGCGCGCGCGTAATGTGCAGTCAGAGGACGGACTGGGTTCAATGTGCTTCTGCTTCATCTCCAGCTGATGGGAAGAATGAGCGTCTGCGGATGCGGCTCACACGACTCTGCTGGCGAAGCTGATGCGTGTCTCTGATGTGATGGGAACAGTTTTCTCATTCACCTCTTCGCTCCGCACACACCGAGGTGTAGTGGCTGCAGAATTAAAGCGGTAGGCTACTCACCAATGCTTAACTAAAAAAAAGTTGTACACATAACGAAACGAACAGCACTTTTGATACTCTACTACTGTATATTCGCATGAGATGAAGACAGTCTGTTTTATTCTACATGGAACGGGTCGCCACATCATGGGTGCCGCCATGAGATCATCACATGATCAGCTGCATCATTCAATTAAACAATAGTAATAATAATTAATAATAATAAAATGTTCACCTTATATAGAACCAAAAGTACATTAAAAGCACAAAAATGCCTAAAAACAAAAACAAGCACAGTTAGCACACCAAACAGCTTGATCAATATAGAGCTCGAGTCAATAGCTTAATTCAGAGTGATGGTATTGATCAGCACATGTGCGATCCACCGGTCCAAACTTAATGAGCATGAGTGGAAAAAAAAGCCCACACAAGCAAACCCTGCTTTGAAGACTTAAAACAAACTGTGACAACACACTGCTCTTAAGACACAGAACACTGCAGCATCAAGCACAGAGTGCAAAGTCACAGCCACAGGAGACACTGTTTTTTACTTAATATTTCTCAGGGTAGGTTTATTTTTTTCATTTAGGCACAGCTTGAAGTCTTAGCTGCATAAATGCTATTGAAAGTTTATTTTGCACAGACATTTACTTTGTCACATTGTGTGGGGTAAGCTGTCACAATGGGAACCTGCAATAAAACAGTCTATTATCAGCTATTAATGGCCTTTCACTCTCTATATAATATATTATGTGGTGCCTTTATGATGTAATGTACTTTGTTAAAGCACTTTGCTTGATCTATATGTAGCATGCCGCTGTTAGGCTACAGATCAGCACTCTCCAGTCTTTGACGTCATGCAGTCTCTGCCAAAAAATGAGAACACAGTGCATTATCATTGATTAAAGAAAGATTTTGACCACTTGTTTACTACTGTTCAAAAGTTTGGGGTCAGTAAGATTTTTTCCCTTTTCTTTTTTAATTAGCAAGGATGCATTAAATTGATCAAAAGTGAAAGTGAACACATTTATAATGTTACAAAATATTTATATTTTAACTTTCTATTTATCAGATAATCCTGAAAAAAACATCAACATATATTTCAACATTGATAATAACAAGAACTGTTTAGGTGAGCAGTAAATCGGCATATTAGAATGATTTCTAAAGAATCATGTGACACTGAAGACTGGCATAATGATGCTGAAAATTCAGCTTTAACATCACAGGAATAAACTGAATTTTAAAATACATTCAAATATAAAAGTTATTTTAGATTGTAATAATATTTCACAATTTTACTGTCTTTACTGAATTTTTGATCAAATAAATGCAGTCCTGGCGAGCATAGGCTAAGTGATTTCTTTCAGTGACATTTCTGACCCCCCAAAAAACTTACTGATCCCAAATTTTGAAGGTAAAGTGTAATGTATAAAAAATATGTATTTTTTGTATATGTATTTTGTATATGTAAAATATGTATTTTTATATATATATAACTTTAAAGAGAGAAAATATGGTTAAAGTCATAACCATATCATAACCAGTCATATTTTATTTATTTGTAATTTTTACAGTTTCTACATATGGTATACATATTTGTATTCATTATAAGTATGTTTTATATTGGAAAATTGGTTTAAGTACTAAGAGTTTTAAGTCAGTTTGACTAAATGTCATATGTGTTCTTTGTATCATTTTAAACATTCATGCTACAGTAAAATGCTTCCGTGCAAAGACAACATATTTTGGGTTCTTTGAGAATACATGTGATGTCACAGTAGAACAAGACTGCTGATGTTTTGTTGTTTCTCAATGAAATGTATGTTCATATCATATGTATTAATGAAGTATATTTATTTGTATGAGTATAACCCATCTCTCCCAAGTCCTCACCACCACACCTTGTTCTGAGTGGGACTTGAACCCGGGTCTCCGGCATGGGAGGTGGACGCACTAACGAGGAGGCTAAAGACTGCAGCCGTTAGCTTCAATCGCTAGTGCGTCTCTTGAGATCAGGGGAGTGAGGTTTACCTGCACAGCACCTACTCGTTTGCCTCCGTTACACTCACCCCCCTAAACCTCACTCCCATCCGGGTCACGGCACCAATGTAACCCCTCTCTCACGGGTCCTCACCGCTACACCTTGTTCTTGTTCCGAGTGGGTCTCCGGCATGGGAGGCGGACGCACTAATGAGGAGGCTAAAGACTGCAGCCGCTAGCGTTACATGAGCATATTTTTTGTATTTTCTTAGGATGTTTTTATCATAAGCAACCCAGATGGATTTGCAGAATCTATTTTTGACATTGATTTTGTGGAAAAACAGAAATTCTTAGTCACCCAGATGAGTCCTTCAGGAATCTTTTCAAACATCCCATTTATTCACAGATTCATATGAATATGTAGTCAAGGTAAGGCATGTCAATACTAATAATCACACCTTTACAGAGGATAATTAACCCAAGAGGATAATTATGAGTATTGAAAGGTGTGTAAACAGATATGCTAAAAACAATAACCCACCATAAACAAACACAAGGTTCACTCCAAATGAATCATCTGCTTGGCCTTCCAGCCCACCACTTAGTAAAAATGCTTTTTGGTCATTTCTAAAGAGGAGATATTGACATCATTCACCACTTGTACTTTCGTGATGGTCTTCAGGTCTTCCACACGGTGTTTATACTGCATCACCTTGGTTTCGTCAATGTAAACATGGAAGTTATCATTGTCAGAGTAAATTTCAATCTGTTGAGAGACAAGGAGTCAATGCTGACTAAATCATCTTCACTCATAATCAAACATAATTCCTGCTGCTCATGATACTTTGTCAATAAAAATGTGCTCATGATGCTTTATCACCTGGAAAGGCTCTTCTATCCCGAGGGGGAAGCTGCTGCATCTCTCCTCCTGCCCCCAGTGGTTGGCCATGTAGGAGTTGCAGATGATATCTGATTCAGTGAACCGTGGGTTTAAATGGAAGGCTATTCTGTCATCGCGGTCACACAGGAAATTGATCTCAAACCTTGAAGACAGAGAAAAACACATACGCTGTAATGAACAAATCATTTGGCCAAAACTGAACCTGAGACCACTGCTTGAAAAGCTATCATTGCGCTAAGATGAGGTACTTGCATTTGAGCGTCTCTCCATCACTCTCCTACAAGTGAATGCTAAACGAGAAATGATGGGATAAAATGACATTTGACCCAGATTATATTTTAGTTTGTATCTATCTCTATTATAGGAATAATAATTGAACAGCATCCAAGTGGATCCCAGGAGAAATGTTATGAATAGAATAGCATATAATTTAATTGCCACATACATGTTTGTCTCCTATGATTGTCACATTATTATTGTTATGTACTGCTCTTTAGTTATGGCCGTGGAGTTGTTTTCATTGCAGTTATTCTTTATAAACAACCTGATGAATGAGTAATTAATCAGTATGAGTTATTCTAGATTCTAGAAGTATGAAGCAAAAAAGAAGATTGGTACTGATATTATCACAGAACAGAAGTATTGAATGAGGTGGGTGTGAAAAACATAGATGACAAAAACGCTGAAGATACGTAAAGCTGGTGTATTAAAACGCATGGGCAAACAAGCAGATGACCTTATTAGATTTCTTTGAGAATGTCTCTCTCTTGGCTCATTGACTGATCTCATAGCCCATACTGAAGTGTGATAACAAAAGCAACTTTCATCTATAGCATTCCATTTGCGCAACACAACGTTTTTTTCTTTTTTTTAGCAATGAGCTTTAGACCCAGCTAACAAAAAATATGTTCTTAGAACGTTTTCCTAACGTTCCAATTAAGTTCTGAAAACATTATTTCTGAATAATTACAAAAGGTTTTTTTCTTGGTTATGTGAACACTAGGACAACATTAAAGGGAATGTCTTCAGCTCAGCTCCAGGAGACCCACCGTCCTACAGAGTGTAAATTAAGGTCTAATTAAGCTCTTCAGGATTGTTTGGAAAATCAAAGACAAGTGTGATGTCTAAACCAACAACATGCCTGTTAGATCCTGTACCCACTAAATTACTATGATGAACTGTCTTTAACTGAAAAATTTGTGTTTACTATTGTCATTTTGCATTATTGACACTATTTTCCTAATTAATGCTGTTCAGTTGCTTTGACACAATCTGTATTGTTAAAAGCGCTATATAAATAAAGGTGACTTGACTTGACTTGACTTGTGATGAAGCAAGTTGGAAATAAACTTTGGAGGACAGTGGGTCTCCAGGAGTAGAGTTTAAGACCTAGGCTTCAAACCACCTAAAACTACTAAGCAGTAATGTCTAGACAAACATTTAACTAAAATATTTCAGAAAAACTTTCTGAAACAATGAAAAAATGAAACAAGCTTCATCACTTTCACCGAATATTACAGATTACATTTAGGGTTTTTTTAAAAGCCTGATGTTTATGGCAATACTGATAACTAGAGGCTAATATAATCCCAGCATACTGTATCAAATACATAAATATGACATTATGATAATATTATACGTATTTGAGGCTTATTCATTGACTTGTCTGTTGGTAAATTCTGGAACTGACACAAGTGGAAGCCAATGCTGATAATGTCCAAATGACTAAATATCAGCAGATATATAAGCCTAGAATTGATCTATCAGTAATGAAGAGTATTTACGGTTCAGGCGACCCAGGGTGCTTAGGAGCTATAACTGTCCAATTACCAAAGGCTTCCATTCAGGAATCTCATCTCCGACTTCATCATGAATTAATAGACCTTTGTTTTACTGCATGGCTATCACCGTTTAAGAATGAAATGAAGACGTTATAGCAATATTCTGTAGCCTGAAGCTATCTATGACATTAATAATCAAACAGGCAGTAGTTTTTCATACAGATAGCTTGCAAGGATCGTGAGTAACTGATCCCATCCGTCACTGCTGAATGAAATTCCATCAATTTTTTTTTTTTTTGCAGTGCTGGGCATAAAAAGTAATTGCCAAATGAAGTCAGCAAAATCCCAGTTTGCAAAATGCAAAATATATGAAGACATAGCATAAATAAAAATAAACAAGTAATAGTGTTTTAAAGACTATCTGAAATCGATAACCCTCCTTCATCATTAGAACAATATGCTCTTAGCACTTGCTAATCTTAATATTATCCTAATGAAAGCAGTTTAGATATCACACAAACATATGAAGTTACTAGGCTAGCTGGCAGAAATCGGGCAGACAGAGAATTAAACTCAGCGATGACTGGAAGAACATTAGAGGATGGCGTTTCTTTGAGCCGTGAGACGTCACCTGCATTTGCATTATCAGTTCAGCTCCATTGGCCAGCACCTGTTTTATCTGAGACTTTCATGTGCTTCTACGCTGTGCTGCATGCTCTGTTATCTGGATTATGAGCCACTTTCATAGAGCTTGGTGCCACAGGGTGAGATCTGTTTGGGTATCTGAGGGGAATTGCAAAACTAGTCACGCTTCCTGTGCTCATCAACGCTGAGCGTCAGACTCCAGTAACTGCTTGCAGAGATATGCGTGAGATTTCATGCAGCATATATGAACATATATTGCAAGCAGCAACCAGTATCTGTGAACTAGAAAAGTGCAGATCTGGAGCTGTACCAAAAATCATTGGTTGTTTAAAAGCCTCTCAATGACATCGGAAAGGAAAGCAAGCTGATTTCTGGTGTTTTACAGGTAAAGATGGAGTGTTCTTTAGATCGAAACTGAGCCTTTTAATGTCCTCATTACTTTAAGTGCAGCCGCATGGAAAATAATTAAAGCATCATTAGTTTAGCTTGCAGAGAGAGAGAGAGAGAGAGAGAGAGTGATGAACTATGCAGAAGAGTTAAGAGTCACGCTACCATCTTATAGGAGAAGAAGGTGTGCATTTTAAATCAAATATTTATCATCTAAACCTGCCTCTGGTTTAAATGATTAAAATTAAAGACTATGTCAGACTAAAAACTGCTTTAATCACATTAGCAACTTTCCATTTAAGTGCTCAAGCACATTTTAGCATCACAAAATCTTGAAATACGTAGCTGTTACTCAACACAATAAGTAAACTTGACCTGCTTCTGTTCGCAGGTTAGCAGACAGTGTTTCCCTTACCCGTAATGTCATCTTGTTGGCAGGGCCGTCTATTGATCAGCTTCCAGCCGGATGTGTTTTGGTAGTGAGGGGTCATTTAAAGAGAGGGCGACACCACGTGAGGGTGAGCTTAGCAGGATCAAGCCTGCAAAATGGGCTTTTGTGTGTGGCAGGTTCATGCATAGAAAAAAGCGTAGAAATACAATGCAATTCAATAGCTTTGCCTTAGGCCACATGGGAGGCTTGTGACAGACAACCAGAAATAACATTAGGTCAGAATCACGGCAAAGCATTTCAGGTACTTCACCAGTTGCATAAGTATGATTGCAGATGTAATGGAAATCGTATATGGAAATAATGATGTGGTTAATGATCCATCGCTCATTATGGAACACAAAACATCACTATTGAAATGAATCACGGGATTTGTTTTTCAGCCAATGGAGTGTATACATTATCTGGGGGAAGATAATGTGATTTTGATGACTGTATTTCAGCCGCCCGGGATTCCTGTAGGAGCTGGCAGAGAGGAATTGTTGACATCAGCAATGAGCGAGAGGTGCCATGTGACTTTTTTTAACGTGTTTTTCTGTAGCAGTGAATGATTGGCTGCTGATCCTGGGGATTAAACAACTATCCATGTGGGTGTCTGTTTGGACTTTATAGCCTATCAAATCTGCCAGCCCTCAGGAATTTCCTGTCTGCTTTTAGTCACAATGGCTCGCTAAAGCTCATCAGGGCCGAATGTACGTCCCTGCTTACAGCTGCAAAATACTCTGAATTTCTATACCACCTAGGCCTTAACAATACTTGAAAATTCATGAATAAAATATCATGGTCTTATGTGCACAATATCACTCAAACTTTGCACTACGTTAAAGCAAGTAACAAAATCAGACAGCTCTTCTAAGCAGACTCTTATTACTATGGCCTTTGGAGACTGAATGTCCAAAATGACCCCACTCTACTCTCTGCTAGTGATCGTGTATGGTTTGTATAGTTCAGTGTGTGTGTGTTTACAGTTGACCAGGCGGTTATGGCTGGGGGCCCCACCCTAAACACCCTCCTCCATCCCTGAGATAGTAAGGATGGACACAGCAGCATTCTGATCACAGTGTGCTGTTATCTGCATGCATGCCAGGGGCTCCGTCCTGCTAGATTACATCTCATATGAGGCTGTGAGGTGCCTCTCGGGTACCACAAGCCCAGACACACAGTGACAACAAATTGCTTGAAACTGGGTGGGGATCTAAACAGAATGCTAATATGAACTATCAACCACAACACACAAACAAATCATTGTGACACATCATGTCGCTTCTAATGTCGGTGCTGTAGTGATATCAAATACTCTCTGGTGAAGTCTGCTTGAGGCTTGTAGGAATCTAGAAATTAAGTGTGTGAATCTTGTGAGAAAAGCTATTCACATTTACACAGAAAGATAGAATGCTAGATAGATAGACATACAGACAGACAGACAGATAGAATAGTGTAGTTCTAAAACACAGTTGAAGGTGTTACATAAAGTGCATATCTGAATCCACACATGCATGAATGCACTGGGTCAAAGAGTGTGAAATGAATTGTCCAGTGGGGTAATATGGTGGAGGTTGGGGGGAAGGTTGTACTGTCTGATGTATACTGGGAACAAAATATCCACCACATGTCTTTTTTAGAACAGCATTATTTATAATGCATATGGTTTAAGTTGGTAAATGTAGCACATGTTACATGACCTCTGTATGTCCTCATTAAAGTCCAAGTCCAGTGTTTGTGTTGGTTGTCCGTGCTCATACTGTAAACTTTCTCATCACAGAAAATCACTCATGGACACATCAGCATGGGCTGAAATTTCATTCTCCGTTTATTACCATACATCCTTTTTTATTGAGAATCTAAGCCACAGGGGAAAATCTGTGGAAGAAAGGAATGTTTGAGTCACCAACATCACACATATG